TTTTTGAATTTAAACCTTTCTAACACAGGGGGCCGGGGAAGGGCCTTGTTAGGGGGTCAGGGCCCGGTGCGCGAGGAGCCTCGTCTCGGTGACCCTGGTCCCTGTCGGCTACCGGGGCTGCTGGGGTGGGTTCCGGGGCCCGGACCGGGCGGGCAAACCTGTTGAAGGTTTTCAGCGTCAAAGACGGGCCCGCCTGCCCGCTGCCCAGAACCGGCTTTAGAAGAAGCCACCCCGCGGGAGGTCCCCCGCTGGGTTCTGATTCTCCCTGGGATTTGCCCCCCGGAGGGCAAGGGCCCTGCCCCCCTTTTTCCCTCCCCAGAAAGTCCCCCTCCACATCAAGTGGCCCAAGAGCGTGGAGGTGGAAGGTTATGGCAGCAAGAAGATGGACGCCGAGCGGCAGGCTGCTGCCCCCCCCTGCCAGCTGTTCAAGGTGACCGCCCCCCCCCCCCCCCCCCCCCCCCCCCAGAACGCCTCGCCCCGGCTCCCATGGCCTTTCAGGGAGAGGCTGACGGTGCCCACCGCTCCCTGTCCTGCGCCCTTGCCGCCCCCTGGCTCCCTCCTGGCGCTTTAGCCACGGGGGGACTGGGTTCCCACTGTGATGACCGACGCCCCTGGCCTCAGGACAGAGAGGAGCCCGGGGCCAGCACTCCCCGTGGGCAGCACGGGGCTGCTTCCTGTGGGTTCTGTCCTTCCCGCTGGTCCCTCACTCACAGTGGAGGCGTGGTGGCCGCTTCTCACTCCCCAGGGCTGGTTCCTGGTTCCCGTGGTGCTGAGCTTGGGAGTTTGCAGGCACTTCGAACCCCGCCGAGCCCTGCAAGTCCTGCTCTCACTGCTCCCAGCGTCCCTCTGTTCCCTGCCTGCGCTCACAGCCTCTTGTTTGTCTGTGTGATGAATTCTGGTAAAATGCACAGTGTTCGTGTGCAGGTTAGTGAGGTCAGCACAGGCACCTTGCTGTGCAGCCCCCTCCAGGACTTCTCTGCAAAACTGAAACTCTGCACCCGGCAGCCACCATCCTGCTTTGTGTTTCTGGGCGTTTCCTTACGTCACTCGCGTAGTGGATCATCCGGTATTTGTCTTGCGGTGACTGGCCTCTCACTGAACATAGCGTCCTCGAGGCTCCTCGGTGCTGGTGTGGGTCAGGTTCCTTCCTCGGCCGCTGTGGTCAGACCACATTGGCTTCCCACCACCCGTCAGCGGCCACCTGGGGTGCTTCTGCCTTTGGCGGTGAGTTCTGCTTGAGCACGACGCACACGTATCTCTGAGACCTGGTTTCCATCCCGGAATTGGAGTCCCTGGGTCACATGGTGATGCTGTGCTTCATTTCCTGAGAATCCGCCGTGGGCGCCCACAGTGGCCGCGCCGTTTCCCCTTCTCACCAGCAGAGCACACGCTCCGTCTCCCGCGTCCTCACCCGCTGCTCTGCTTCTCGCTCTCCAGTGTGAGCAGCCGTCCTG